ACGACTACAAGGACGACATGACGCTAACAACGAGATAAACCACCGATGAGAACGAGACGGAGAAAATAGTCGAAGCGAAGAAAAGAAAAGAAGGAAGACAGAAGACGAGAGAGCGAGAAGAACGATGAAGGTGGTGCGAGCCCTCGAACTGCTCTGGGGGCTTGATTGTATACCGGAGACGGTGCTTTTGAAGGAGACAAGAGAGCCCTCTCAGACTATGGTAGAAGTCGAGTGAGTCTCGTGTAACCTCGGGACGAGGCCGCGTTGCCCGTGAACAATTCGTAGCTGTAGAAACACCCGGACACGCATACAACGACGGCCATGCATTTACAAATGTTCCCTCGGCGCGACCCTTGCTTCTTCCCTCGCACGCCACCGGCTGGGACGATGTAACGAGAGAACCGTAAATGTTCCAAGAACTGACGCGGCCAAGACCCTGGAGCCGGACGGGCTCTGTCGAGCGACATGCGGGCGTGGCGAGGAGCGTTCTTGATTAATGTTATTGGTGATCATTGTTGAACGGGATAGACGCTACCCAGAAGGAGTGCGGAATTAAGGAAAGTGGTTGGAACACTCCGGATGTTCTTTACGTAGGTTTGTCATTGTCGGCGAATCTCGTGCGCGCCCGCGCGATTGTTTTTGATCCTCGGAAGTGCGGCGCAGCGAGAACGGATAAAAGCGAAGCGAATGTTAACAATAACGCCGGCGTTTTCTATCAGAATGAATTACGAGCTTTCACACGTATCAAATCTGAACGAAACTTTTACGTAACGTTAAATTCTCGGATTACTCGATTTATAGAGCACGCCGTGTATACACCGGAAAATGCTGTGAGATAAATAAATTACAGACAACATCGATACGCGTCCGCGGGAAACTTACACGAGCGCGGCCGCAATCATTTCACGGATGAAATAACGAGTAATTGGTTTACGAACTCGGCCATTGAACAAAGTTTCTGGCAACTCCGCCGTTTTCGATCGGCGTTATATGGAGTTTCATAACACGTACAATTACTAATGAACGCAAATAAAAGCGCAGCCGTGGCGATGCTTTTGTGCGACCCGAGCGAAGCGCGTCTGTTGTTCGCGCGGCCACCCGCGGTAATATCGCGAAACTTGTCCTCGACTCGAGTTTGCCGGATGGGGGCTTTAGACGGAACGGCAAATTCGACGATCGAAATTACACTGCGATTCGGGGTCCACAATGACCGCGATTCCTTGCAAACAGAATCAGAGCTGCCGCCGCCGTTAATTTGCACGCCGGACTCCCCGTGCCGGCGCTATTTCGCGAACTCTTCATCTACCCAGTTCGAGTTAACTTCGTCTTCCACTCTATTCAAACAGCGGTCCATGCTCAGGCGGTCCGCTTCGCCTACTCATTAGCGTCCTTCCGCCTGTTACTACTAATGTACGAGAGTCGGCCAACAAATTTACACGGCGCGTTGCCGGGAGTTACTCATTAGAGCGCCAATGCGCACAATGTAATATTGCAATTCCGCAAACTGTAATTACACTTGTGTGTTGTATGTTTTGCGCGATAGAAAAACGACAACATCTTCGTAATACACATTTTTAAGAATTTCGAGATTGATTTTTACTCGCGAAATGTTGAGCTTCGCTCAACTAATAAAAAAAATAAAATAGTACACATTGAATCTTTTTGAATCTAAATTCTTTACGCCAATTCCAATATTTGCTGCTGCGCAAATTAAACGGGCAAGTTTCAAAAGTACGTTAAATAGAGACATTTTAACATGCATCCTTTCATGGTGTGTCATGTTAGGACAGCTTGCTGTCCGGAGTGACACATGGTGTTGCCAGCCGTGGCTCACGTTGAAGGGGGATTGTTTTGCATTTTTCACGACACGGTAAAAAACCCGGCGCTCGCCGAGCGCGCGGAGCGTTGCACCGTCGCTGTTTCGGGACCATCTATGTAACATTATTCGTCCGGATACGGAGCTGCTCTGTTTTTCGGTGCGTGCGCCAGTACATTTAATACCTACAATCTTTTTGTCTGTAACTTTGCATTAATCCGGGAACGTAATAAAGCGAATACGAATAAACAGAAAGGACTGGGCGCGACGCGGTGCGGTGCGGCGCGACGATGGCGCGGCGGTCTCACCAAAAACTACCAACGGTACTGCGGGATATCCGGGCAAAAGTAGGCAGCGGGATATGCAAACGCGACCGTAAGCCCCGCCGGATTAAGCACGGACGTATTTTCAATTCGCGATAGCAATAAGTTCAACCTCGTCCGCTCATTCGTTATTCTCGCTCTTTCTCTCTCTCCCTCTCACTCACTCTCTTGTGTAACGTTCTCTGTCCTTTCTCTTTAACCCCTTTTTGCACCCCGATCTCGTTAGTACCGTTTTTATTCCGCCGTTCCCTGTCTCTTATCCGAACCGTATCGAATCCTTTTGCGATTGTCGGCAATCGCGAAGAACGATTGTATTTGATGCCCATCGGCGTTCTTTATTGGCGTTATTTACAATTTGTAAACCTAAGCAACCTCGGGCACTCTAATATGTGAAGATATTACAAGCGCTTATTTTTATCGTGGAAATAGTAATTGCTAGTGCCGAAGTTATTAGTATTCTTTAATATCGGATAAATTGCATTTCGATAGATACTTTTCATTATATTATCGGTTTCCTGTAATAGTTTATTTTCTTCTTCAACGAGCTCCAATTAAAATTTTATTTAATGAGATAAAACGAGAGATAAAGTCTCGTTTCTATTTCACCGAGGATACGAATTCATTATGAAAATTATATAGGAATTCTCTGATCGAAAGTATAACACGAATCAATACAGTAATAAAAGACCAATTAAGAATTCCGATTACGTTTTAAACGAAATGTAATATGTTTGAATATATTTTCTAAATAAATTCTTCCGAATATATTATAATATTAAAAGTTACATTTAACACGAAATCTGATGACTTAGTCGGTTTAAGTTTCATTTAATTATAACGAATCATTCTTGGCATTTTATTTATGCAATATCTCGCGAAACAATGTCGACAAATTTTTTACTTTTGTGTAAAAAATCATTAACTCTAGGTTTTGCTATAAGCAAGAAAAACATCTGCCCTATCTATAGAAAAAAAAAAAAATACATTATTTTGTACAAATCTGACTCGCATATGAAACGCATCATCCGTCAGATACCCATTAGACCGCCGGTGTGAGCGCGACGCATTCGTATGCACAATGGGCGCTCGGTGGTCATCTAATGGACACCAACGCACTTTTTCGCACGACCCTGTTCATCATGACTATCCGTCTATCGTTGAGCGTACACAATACAACCCGCGAAAAAGCTGACGAACGTTTATACAACGTGAGAAGAATGTTGCTCCTGGTCACGTCTCTCTCCTAGTCCACTCACGTAACGACGGAAGAGTAAAAAAACGTGCGCGTTGCTTTATTCGTAATAACGAAATAATAAACATGTCAGAAAAAGAGACAAGATAAAAGAGTATGGTAATAAGTACCATAATAGGAGATTAAAAGGAGAAAACACACATACTTTTTTTTTATTAATTTGCAAGGGGTGAAATAAAAAAATGTTCCCTTCCATTCTCTCTCATTTGCAGGAAGATATAAAATCGTGATCGAGAATAAAGTACGTTGGAAAGCAACTTCGAAAATCTGAAGATTTAATGATATTTAAGCAGAGCTGGAGATCTCTCAGGAAATTGAATAGCGTTCAAGAAGGAATTACGGAGCCGCATTTACCGCATGAACACGGAATTGCGTGATGCGAATATGCAACACGATTGTATAGACGCTCGAGTGCCGGCAGCTTATGCTGGTAATCGCGCTTTTAGCGGCAATGCCGATTGAACACGATGAAGCGGCGAGATTGTAGCCGCTTAGATTAAGGTAGCGAAGATGAAGGTAATGGTGGACGAGCGGCGGAAGGAAGGAAGAGCGGAAAATTTTTCATTGGAGTCAAAAGTTCGGCGTACTGAAAGTTTAATTTCAGACTCCCTGGGCGTGGTGCGGCTTGAATGAAAAATCTCTCCTCCGCCTCTGCCTGCATCTTCGTCCCTATCTCTCTTTAACCGGCCCCTTCGTCGTGCCACCGCTTTCGCACTTTTTCGCTCTTCGGCGTAGCGAAGAAAGACGTTCCTTTGCCGAGCGGTTACCGATTAAATTCGATGGAAAGAGTCCCGGGTATGAGTGCACCGAGACTTATTTCGCGGTTGAATCGAACGACTAATATATCGGCACTTTCATCCGCGCCGTCGACATGTCAATATCGTCACTTACCGTGACGTTCTTGCGAAAGGCAATTTAACGTCCCATAAACATTGAGCGCGCTTCGCTCGTAAGATTTTTAAGTAATCAATTTTCGCAACGTATTTCTAATGAAACGTTTCTTGATATGAAAAGCTTTTTTCGACACACGACTCCACTTGTATTTCGATTCGACAATTAATTACCTTTCGCGTCCGGTTAATTTAGAAAAGAAAACTGTCAACGTGCCTTTAAAACAAATTGCTAATACGACTACAGTGTCGACGTGCGACGAGGAGGGTAACAACGGCGCGTTGTTATCGCGCTGGCAGGTACGATTTTGCAATATCCTGAGATTAGGCTAAAGATTGATGTTTAACTCCATTTTGTTCACACTATTCAATACTTGCCTCAATTAATCAACGTGAAACGCCACACGTACGCCCACCGGCCCTTAATCTATGAGAGGTGCGGTCCGAGCGAGCGCGCCACTGCCCTCCCCGAAGCTATCAGAGTGTAGGTTTTGCGGCAATACGTTCGGGGTGGTAACTGCAGCGGTACCACTCGTTTAAAACACATTAGGGCGCGGGTGGACGGTGGTGCAAGTCCGTGGCCACTCTAAGCACCGCAATTCCGCAGCTGCCGCAATTCTTGTTCATGCTTTTTGATCAGGCGCCATCAACGCCTCGCCCCATCCCCTTTATTCAATGTGGTCCACTTTTGTGATCCGTACGTCCCTCTCATGTTTCAGTGAGGCCCCTGAGCGTGACGATACTCAGCAACGAACAGGCGCCCCTCAGCGCCAATCGGAAGTACGACATTAACTGCATGACAATCGGTTCAAGGCCGGCGGCCGAGCTGTCCTGGTACATGGAAGGCAAGAAGCTCACTAATCACACGGACGAGGTAAGGCTCTAAATCAAACGGTATATGTGACTTGATTGGAACCTGTCCCGGTGGAAACTGCTCTTATAAAAGAGAAAATTTGTCAATAGGAAAAGCAACTTTCACAATTGTTCACTGCTTGATCTTTCGTTGCTGTAATGCAATTAAATGTAATGCAATTAAAATATAATTCAAATTATTATGATTTTCATGATTTTCTACACTTTTTCAAGAAAAAAATAATTTTTTTTCCTTTTTTTTTTATCTATTTAAAAAGTTTTGTCGACAAAAATATTGACTGATCTTTTTTTTTTTTCTTTAATAACTACTCCATTTTTGTATTCGGTTTTTATGTGACCATTCCGAGTGCCAAAAATACGACATTCAATATATGTTTCGCATTCGATAGATAAAACGTAGTATCATGCAAGTTATTGCAACAACTGTCCTCGGCAAAATAATAGTGGAAAGAAAACAAACGACGCAAACGCATAAAATAATTCCCGATTCTGCCTTTACCAAAGTACGAACAACAGGCATAAAAAAAAAATAAAATAATTCACCGTGGTCGCACGCCTATTTCCGTCGCGCTACCTAACTCCCATCGTGCTAATAGTATCATCGATGCCAAGACGATCGATCTCCATTATCGCCTCCTCGTGTTACACCGATCTTCTATCTGTAATATCACGTATCGCGTACGTATGAAATTCTTATTCGACGAAACTCTTATCTTGCGCCAAAGACGAGTCACGCCAACCTGCTGTCGCGAAATGATTCAATGCCTGGCAAAAACAACATATCCTATATCAAAGCGTGTTTGTCATCATTTCCCCGCGTACGTAATCAGAGCGAACGACGATACGAAAAAAGAAGCAGCATTCCATTCCAGGGTTAACGGTTCACTGGACCGAGAGAAGAGCCGAAAAAACCGCACGGTCCGTATCCGAGACGTACGGCTTCCCTTTCGATCGTTCTCCACGAAATCACTGGCATTAGCGTCGGTATCGGTATTTGCATCGTTGCCATTAAGCACCCCCTCTGACACGCCATGGCGCAATTACCGGATAGTGGCGATGCTTTCGTGATCTCTCGCTCTCACTCCAATTTACCGCGACCCGATGGCCTCGTCTCTATCTCGCGTGCGCGCCATCTCCGTCTCCCTTGCTCTTCGAGCTCGCGCTCGCTCCGGACGACGAGGAAACTCCTCCGTTATACGTACTCGAACTCTTGGCGAACCATCGATCTACGCCCGTCTTGCGTTTCCGCGGCGAACTCTTCCTGAAACGTGATTCTTTGACCCGCCGCCCCCAAATTGCGTTCCGAATCTCGATATACACGCCGCTCGTCTTGGGCGATGTAAGAATTTTAAAGAACCTGTTCAGACTGTAAATGCACGTAATCGAATCGTTTATTGCACAAAGTACATGAAATCAATTCTTTTTACGACTGAATATAAAAGGTTAATTTTTTTCTTGAATTTATACGACTAAAATTAAATATCGATCAAGAACCCAGACTGTTTTCTTATTTTTAGCAAGTTTCATTATAAAATAAGTATCGCGTTTCGTAATATTGAGAAAGTTTTTCACGCCACTGCGGTGTTTGATACATTTCAGTCTACGCAACCCAAATACTTTTGCTTTTTTCCACTTTAATAAATTAAGCAATGATAGATGCGAATTAGAGACGGCTGACATTAAGGATACGTGTTTCATCTAAGAGCAAGACGAAGTTATCTAATATAGACATAGTACATATGTGATTATGAAGTGATGGATATCATCCATCATGTCACGTCGATAATTGTATAACAGATCCGAATACGTTGTCAGAGATGTAAAATGAGAGATGTAGAATGATACGAATGATACTATTATATTCTACTATTAATATGGCTTTTCATTCTATTTGTATCACGATTAAATATTTAGCTATTATGCAAGAGAGAGAAAGAGAGTAAAATTGATATATATATATATATATATATATATATTTTTTTTTTTTTTATTTTTAGATACTAGGTTAATAAGTAATGACGACACATTTCAAATTTCGGTATTATTTCAGAATTTTAAAAACTATGGTTATTTCAAACTTTAAATCTAAAGAAATCTTTTGCTTTAATGTTTGAAATATTATTAAATTTTATAGAGAAAAGGGAGAAAGAGAATAAATTTCAAATTATACAAAAATAGACCTTGGGGACTTTTTTCTAAAAAAACAACTTCCTCGAGTAAAATTGAAATAAGCACTAAAAATTAATTGTATCTACTCCAATTATTTTCACTTCACTTTATCACTATTTTACGCTCACAATTCTTTCAAGAGATTGATTTCTACAAATTCCATGTGCTATTTGAACATTCGTTTATATTGATTAATAAACAGCAGATAAACTTTTCTATTTCCTTATTAAATTTGCATAATAATTTTCATACAACTTTAAAAGTAAAGTAACAAAAATGTAAATTATTCTATTACAAAAATTTGTAATAAATTTTAAACATAGAAGAAACGATAAAGATACATAATCTGGGTACACAAGAATTTCATATAACACCATCCTTTCGCTTGTTATTCCACGCATAATCGAGATGCAGTAAAACTTTCCGAGTGAAAAATGAGCACAGGTATATGCGAGCTCCGGTTTCGCTGCCGCTCGTACGCGCGGATTTTGCAATAACGATTCGCCGGGTTCGATCGGTCTCGCGCGCGCGGTCATGATCGACGATGATCCGCTAGTGGCAGAGATTCAAAGAGCTGATATTTTCCACCGCAAATAACGATCACGTTGGCCGGTGCCAGGCAGGCGGCATCCAGTTCTGACACGTTCGCGCTATCTCGTGTTATACGTCATAATATCACGGTGTCGAATGAAGTTCGGTACCGGTAGACATATCGAGGCATAGCGAACAGGGGGAAAAAGAGAGAGAGAACGAGAGCACCCCCAGTGAGGCAAGCAGGACGGAGAGGATTCGCGGCGAGGGTGGAAAAGGGGGTGGATTGTGGACAGTATAGTTGGCAGCGGGTGATTCGACTTCGCCGATTTATGACCGCCGCGCGAATTTCGAGCCAATTTCGTTCTGGGCTTTGCCGCCCCACGTACGTACGTACACTGCACTCCAAAAATTTCGATCTCTTCGTCAGCAATTCACTTCACGAAGCGTATTGAAATACTATTAGTTAAAGACATGCAAAATAATAGGAATGTTTCTTTTCTTGCTCGATATCTCGCACTTTTGTGCCGCGATCAAGTGTCACATTATTGCAGCTTGTTTCCAGCGAAAGTAGCTGAAATGTTGCGTGCCTTTTTTCAAACGTATTAACATGATTTTAATCGCGCTCTCTTATGGGAGCTGCATGGCTGCAATTTTAATATTTTTAATGGGACGCGGTATATATAGATTCTTACACGTAGAGAGATCGCGCGCGTCAAAGGAGTGGTCGTGTATACATGTTTGATAATTACATGTTTTCTGACAAGACACCAAGCTCGCGTATATTTGCGTAAATACAGAAGCCAGTTTCGTGCACGTTAAAGTTGCATTCACCGTGAGGGTGAGATACTCACGTGAAAGCCAGGTCCTATTACACCACCTGCAAAGGTGGGTGATAAACGCCTCCTGGACTGACTCGTCCGGTCATTAAGACTTATCGCCGGATTAACGCTTGGCTTATAAGCTCCAATACGCCCTTACCTCAAACGCGCGCTACCTTGCACGAGTACGAATAATTATACCTACTAAGGCTATACCACCCTTTCGCGGCCTGATGTTACATTTTTAGCGAAATCCAGGTGAGAAAATTGTTTTAAAATTAGAAGCGCATACAGGAATTTTATAATAGCTCGCTTCTTGACCAATTATAATATAATTACTTCTTTCCTCGTAGCGGCCGCGCTAAAATACATGTATCACATTTCTGTATCTATCATAGTCGCGCGTATCATCTATCGCGTGACACTTGGCATCAACACTAATTAGCAACGAAACTTTAGTGAAATGTCTACGTATGAATATACGTAATAATGAACGAAATAATAAACTGTATATATGTGTACATATATGTAGTATCATAACTGATAACAGGTAGTTACATCTGCCATCGTTGCAGGTGTTTGTTCATTTATTGCTATGCGATTAACGAACGGATAGCATTTTCATATTAAGTATCAGCCAACATTATAGTACACATAATTTAATTACCCATGCGCTCTTTAATAGGCGTATATTATGGCAAAAAGTATCGGGAAAGCAATTAACGGATGCAACATAAGGCACGTTAAAATATGTAATTATAATTCCGATATCGATCGTGAGAGTAATTTTCCATAAATCCGAAATCACCGATATAAAAAATTAAATTTATTATAATGTAAAAGTAATAATATAATACACAAAATATATTTACTCATTAATCAATAGTTAATAATCGTAATTAACGAATATTGCTCATTTGTTGCAGGTGTCGCAGGATGGCAATATGACGACTTCCATCTTAACGTTTCAACCCACTTTATCGCACCACGATAAAGTTATCACGTGCAAAGCTGTGAATCCCAAATTCCAACGTCACATAGCGGAAGACACGTGGCAATTGAACATTTATTGTAAGTATGACGTAAAATAACGCACGGACGTAAGATAATAAAAATGCACGCGCGAGCGTTCAATAAAAACTTTCCAATAATTTGTGTAGAACTGTAATAATTCAATAAAAGTGACAATAATCAACGATTATAAATTACAATACGCGTCCTTTGCCTTGCATCTAACAGCAGTGTAATTTGTTTTATTGGATATTATTCCGAGGACATACTTCTCTCCGCATAATCAGAATAATTATGATCCAGTGCATGTACGATGCGATATAAAAAATTGGAGATAATATCAGATCACAAACCGATGGCTGTGGTAGACCGCGAGTTTACATACTAGCAATGGCAACACGATATGCTCTGTAGAGCCAACATTATTATCACTGATATCATTATTCATTAACACACCGCCATCAATATTATGCGAGCGGACCAACAACGTTCGATCCAACGCATTACAGAATAATAATGCGCAACTGACCATCCCTCTCTTTTATGTTTGTTGCGTTATAAAAAAGTGGGTAAAGAATAATAAACGGTAGATAATACCCGCTTTTTATTTTTATATGACTATTAAAATAAACATAAGTCTACCGAGAATAAAATTGTGTACGTACTGCGTGCACACATTTCTGTTTTATCCTAGCAAAAATTTCTCTCTAACAGGCTAGCTATAAAAATTTCTCCAAAATCTTGTATTTTATTTTTAAAAAGGTAGAAATATGAGAATGTGGTTATATCTGAGAATAACTGTATACTAGGTGCGCAATTAAGTTTCCGGGTTTTTTTTATCAATGCAAAATGGAAAATTTCAAGAGAAATACAAAAAACGGTTTATTCAAAGTATCGTCCCTCGCTAGCTACACATTTTTGCCATCTCTCTGGCAATACATGAATACCGCGACGATAAAACGACGCGTCTTTGCATCGAAACCATTTATCCAATTCAGTTTTGCACTTCTTCGAAATTGGCCAAGTGTAGCCCAGCTAAGCCATGTGCCATCGACCGGAA